TTTTCTCTTGTGCTCTGTGAATTATGCTGTCAGTCTAATTGCAAATTCTTTTTTTACCATTGTATTTTTCTTGTGCACAAACATTAGCCAATTTTAAATATTATGTTTTCTAAATGTGCATTTCAGGCTTGCCCCTTGATTATCTGTAAAATATAAGCTTGCTCCTTGGATTTGTTCCTGTAAAAACAAGAATTGAACAATAAGTGATGTTGGTAAAAAGCATTTACTGTAGTTCTGTTACTGGTTGTAACCTTCTCACACCATTACAGCTTTGGTGATTCTAAATTAGTTTTTTCCCTCATGGTAAATGTCACTTAAAAACATTCCTGCATACTGTACATTATCTACACATACAGCGTGGTCTTGTCAATCAAACTGAACTACAGGATTAATCAGTTCACATTGGTGAGTTGCTGTCTCTTTAATATTGTACATTTTTTCTAAACATATCTTATACGGTATATTCTTCATTTAACTCTCAATAGTACTATTCTTGTTGCAAAGGTCTATACAAACTATAATAAACTTTTGTGTACAATTTAGACATAAATACTTCCTGTACTGTTGTTAACCAGTTCAACTCAAGCACAATTCTCTGTAGGTTTCTGTATCACATGCACTTTTATAACTTTCCCTATTAGGTTCTCCTGTAAAATAGTAAAGATTCTATTTCAATTTATTATCATGCTCCGTTAGACCATAACACTAATCTTATTTCATTGTTTTGGTGCTTCTTTGTCTATTTAAGTTTCTTCTAGTTTGATTAAGGGTTTAAGTTGCTGCAATTTCATCTCTCTGGCAGCTTCACATTTATGTTGCTGTTTATAAGCTCACCTGTCTCTTATCTTTGGGATATACATTTTGTTCCAACTATAGAAAACATACTGTACATCAAAGTTTTAGTTTTTGTATAATTTATATTTCATGTCATTTTTTTTTCATTATTTCATTTTTCCATGTATGCACCTTATTGTTTTTGCACCCAACATATTAAGTAGTGTTTTAACTCTACATAAGCATGTACTGTACACTGTATACTATATCCCTAATAATTTTGAGTTAATTACCTACTGGTTTTGTCAGTTTTTCTTTAAGTTATACTTGTACATTTTCTTAATTTTGCATTCTAGATACATTATATGCAGTATATATTCCCCCCTCTATCGACATAATAGTATTTATGGGGGCCAACAGGGGGCGCTCACCCTGCGGTCCATTTGGGTCCTAATGCCCCTGTATAGTGACAGATGAGACATAAAACCAAGGTCCTGACTCTCTTTGGTCATTAAAAATCCCAGGGCGTTTCTCGAAAAGAGTAGGGCTGTAGCCCTGGCTGGGGCAATTTCCCATTGGGCCTTACCAATCATGGTCTCTTAATAATCCCCATCTATGAATTGGCTTCATCACTCTGCTCTCCTCCTCACTAATAGCTGATGTGTGGTGAGCATTCTGGTGTACTATGGCTGCCGTCGCATCATCCAGGTGGACATTTATTATTACTATTATAATATTAGGATTATTTATAGTGGACAACAGAGAGAAAGGCTGAGCCAGATGTAGACTAACTTTTGTTTAATTGTTCATATACTGTGACTGGCATTCTAACAAATTCCCTTATAAACAATTGACAATTATTTAATCTTTTTCTTTTCCAAGTGGCTTGTAACTTCCCTCTCCTTTTAAACATGAAAACTAAAAAATATGAACACTAAAAAAACAGGACTATTTCATTTTCTATGATCTCCCATAATACTAAGTGCTTAAATATTTTCTATACATTAAATAAAAGACTGTTCTTTGTACTTTGATGGTTCTGCAGTTTACCACGCAGTCCCTCAAGAATTTCCCATGTATACTGTTTAAAAAAACACATTGCACTTGCATATAAAAATTACAAAACTGTATTCATCAAGAAATATGAATGTAAACAATACGAAACTGCCACAACCAAAAACTGCATACTATAACTGTCCAAATACAGTAGTGAAAATGCATAAAAATTGTAACCCAACTGCTGAAATTTCCTTTCGCTTCTTTATTCATTTTTTTTTTACCTTGTCAGGTTTACATTTAGGGTTAATGAAGCTGCTTTATAAGCTGCACAAACATGAAACAGGATATGTTTTCTAACATATATTCATCATTACTTTGTTAGTACATGTTTGTGTGGATGTGCTAACCTCTCTTTAAGTGAAATATTAGATGTAGATTGGGACTGGGAAGATCCCAAGTGGAAGTGTCATTGAATTTTACTTGAGGATAATTTTCATGGCATTCTTGCAGTTCTTATGCATCATTCGCTCTGACATTGTATTCTTCAGGGATCTGTGTGTGCACAACAGACATAGACATAATGCACATGATAGAGTACTTCCACAATTCATGAGTGCACAAGTTTTGAATTACACTCTAACTGTCATTCTGCTCTGAGATATATGCCAAGGGAGCTGTACACTGACCCTATATATCAGTATATAAAATAGTAATCCACTCAGCAGTTTGAAATGATGTACTCACATGTACTGCATTATTTATGCAGGAGGGGAGATTAAGCTTTTATCCTTTGATTTCAATTAACTTTAATTCATAGAGAACCTGCTGTGCACACTAAAATGTAAATATGATATCCAGTTTACTGTATATATAGATTTTCAGATTTCTTTAACTAAACTGTGAATCTCCATTGAACTGTTTTTTTTTTGTCATTAGATTTAACCAGTGACAAAGCATTCAGGCACACTTTAAGAGAGGCTTGCAGAAAATTTGTCATAACCTGGCATCATCATCATCATTATTATGATTATTGTTGTTGCTTTTGTTTATCCAGGACAATTAACAATATATGCAAATCATTATATTATGTATAAGTACATACCATAGGAATACAATCTAGAAAGTAAAATAAAGTATAGCAATACAATGGTACTGTAGTAAGGTCATTTTAATCATGCAAAACATAATAAAATAGCAAACGTAAATGTAAATGATGTAGTGTAGTTCTGTAGGTATCTGTCATGTGTTTATGTTTATGGTGAAAAGTGCGATGAATAAATAACACTTCAAGGTACAATTTCCATAAAATGTGTTGTACTGTAGCCTTTCCCGTAGAGACAGTAAACTTTCAATTTTTGAAATTTAGATTTCAAAAGTTTAGATTATTAGAAATACAATATTATATTTTCTTGTATCCTAAATGTGTTTTTTTATCTTAATGTGTATTTGCTGCTTCTGAGGTACTCAGATTTAATTTGGTAATGGATATTATTATCAATAATCATGTCTAAGGAAACCTGCTAAACTTATTTAAATGTTTATTTTGCCCTAATTATTAGTATTTATTAGCAGTTGTTTATTACTTATTACAACCATTTGTACTTTTATGCAGTGTTTATTGCAATGGACTTTGTTTAAATGTGTGGAACAGGGAAATCTGTCACATACACAAATCATGAATAAACTTACCTTCATGAATACATAATTGCACACAACTTGGCCATTTTTGTAAATGTGGCAGAGGTAAATGCAAATTTCTCCTGTTACAAAGGATATGAATGAAAACAGGTTATTCATGGTGTTGTGCAGACCATACAACCTCACTGTTAACACCAACATGCAGACAAAGACTGTAAAATACCAACATCATGTTTATTATTAAACCATCATAATCAGAAGCATGAAAAAACAAGCTAGGACAAATGAAATCTAATGTATGTTCTGCCCCATACCTGATGCTGTTTTAATACTCACTGGTGCTAAATTAGGCCTAAAATAAATAAAATGTGGGGTGGCACAGTGGTTACCATTGCAGCCTTGCGGTACTGGGGCTTTGGGATCAATTCTAGACCTGGGGTGTTACAGTATGTGTATGGAGTTTGTACAGAATGTTCTCCCATTGTTGGCAAGGGTTTCCTCTGGGAGCTCCTGTTTCCTCCCACAGTCCAAAGACGTGCAGGTACTGTAGGTCAATTGCCTTCTGTAAAATTGGCCCTGGTATGAGTGTGTCTATGTCTGTATGTGCCCTGCCTTGGACTGGCATCATGTGCAGGGTCACTGTTTGCTGGTTTAGGCTCCAGCTCCCCTGCAAATGAATAAAGTAGTTTAGGAAATGGATGTATGGATACATACAATGTGTAGCCATACCGAAAAATATACATAACATGTTTTGACTGAATTTTAGCCTAGTGATTTGTCTTTTGCCTGTATTCGGTGCTATGCAACCATGTTAGTACTTTGTCTTGCACTAGATCTCCCTCCCCCTAGTAATACAGCTCAGTCATACTGAGAAAAAAAAAAAACAAGTAATGAAAAAGTTTAAGCAATAAAAAGTAATAAAAAATGCAGTTGGAAAGTCAAATTCGAAAAAACACAAATTCAACTGCCTGTTATCTGTTCTGAGGGAGAGGTTGTTGTAGAAGAAGCAATAAGATCCAGAGATGATTGCGCTGCAAAAAATAACAGTAAAAAACAACAGTGATGGCTGATAAGAGGTGAAGGAACTGCTCATCACTGGCACGTACACTTCTATATGAGAAGAGTATTACAGATCAGCTCTATGAAGTGCTCCCAGAGTACCAGAGTATTTTGTCTTGTTTGGGTTGATCTGGGCAACAACAAAAAAAAGGATGCTCTTTTTTTAGAGTAGCAATACTCATTATGGTTAATAACAACAGAAATAATAAGCAATCATGGAAAGGGCAAAGGAAATTTATAAAAAGGAGTTTAAAACTTGAAAAATACACATCAGACGGTATGAAAAATCCAGCTAACTGAGGTAGAGTACCACAGCAATAGCTGAGACAGGTACAAAGCTGATCAGTTTGGTCAAGTGTGATACACTGCATACTGCTTAGATTAGCTGCTTAATTGTTTTTGACAGGGTTTGACAGGGCTTGTCATTCACAGGCCTCGCCGCCCCTGGTGCTTCAGTCTAGTCAGCGGTGGTGATTGGTTCCTGCTCTCTTTCCTGGCCTTATTCTTATTACTTTCTTCACTTATCTCAGGCAGACGTTCCTTCTGACCCATTGTTCACTGACGAGCTTCAACAAGCAGAGGAGCTTGTACTCATTACCTGTTCCTCCAACACCTCTTGGTTGGGTAGCCAAAATCGACCACAAGGACACTTCTTCCAGCTTGGCACAACGCCTTCTTTGGCACATTGTGGAATCTCCGTTTCTACCTTCAAAACCTAGGTAGGTGGTCCTCTGAAGCCTGCCTAGGCTATTTTCCAACTGAGCGCCAGTCAACCAAAAGCTTGCATGACATATGCTTTGTATAGGAACTCTGTATGGGTGTAATGGGTTTCCTTTGATCTGTTTATGAGTGCCGTAATCCTCATGCTTGGTGTCAGGTTGCCGTTTCCTCAGCCAGGAGAGTTATGTTGAATCAACTTTCAGCATTTATCCGAATAAACTCTTGGGTGTCACATTAATGAGAATTTGACCTAACCAGTGATCTTTTCCTGGGCAAAGATTGCACAAACTACAGACTATTAACATTTCACGGGCAGGGAATTTGCACACATCTCTTTCTAGCATATTCACTAAGCTTTAGCATACCACATATTGGGACCTTAATGACATGAAACAAGATATTAAAAATCATTTTTATAATAGTAGCATCCTAAAACAATGAAGAACAAAGAACATGTCTTCAGTTTGCACATTACTATGTACAGTATCAACCTGTCATTACTGTCTATGATACTCATGATCTCCAAGCTTAACATACTGTACACATCACATACAGAATACCCCATAACTGTGTGGACAGGCCTTTTCATATTTCTTCAGTGTAATGTCTTTGGGGTGTAAAAGCATTATGTTGCATGTTTGCAAGCTGTGGGATGCTTGAGACAATGGCTGCAGTATACAATAATCACTTTTTGGTTGTTAGATTATAAAAGTTGCAATCAAGCTACTGTATTTATGTTGTACTCTATCCCTAGGTTAATGATTCATAAAATGTCACCTTTGATGCCAGAAGAGGAACACACATCAATGAAAAGACAAAACCTTTAAAACTCGGCTACATTTCAACTCTGGACACCAAGACAGCTCCATGAAGAGCATGTGGTTCAGAATGGGTGCTTCCTGTGCTCTCCACATCCTGTTTCTTTTCACTCTGGTGCAAGTGGCTCTTCCCACCTCCAGTTACAACACAGGCACCAAGAGGGAGATCACTATGGAAGGGGACCTTGTTATTGGAGGACTTTTTCCCGTCCATGAGAAAGGGGAGGGAACAGAGGACTGTGGGAAGATAAATGAGCAACGAGGGATCCAAAGGCTAGAGGCTATGCTCCTGGCTCTGGACGAGATCAACAAGGACAATAAAATCTTACCTGGCCTCAAACTGGGTGCCCACATCTTAGACACCTGCTCAAAAGACACCTATGCCCTCGAACAGTCCCTAGAGTTTGTGAGGGCCTCCCTGACTAAAGTAGATGAGACAGAGTACATTTGTCCTGATGGCTCATATGCTATTCATGATGACTTCCCTTTGGCTATCTCTGGGGTAATTGGCGGCTCCTACAGTGATGTCTCCATTCAGGTACTGAAAATAATTAACTTTTTAATTCTTCTGTTTTTGTAATTCCATATGGTTTTATGAGATGAATGCTTTAATGCTTTACCTTGCTTACTTGTTTGTTCCTATGCTTGGCAGTGAAGCAATAAGAAAACAGCACATGACAGGGGTATGACTGGCTAAGAGTAAAACCTTGCTAGGTTGGGCTTGGTGTAATTCAGTATCTGAAAGGGAAAAAGGACAATGTTTTGCTTTCAATGATCAAATATTACTGCAAGAAGATTAATTCTGTGAGCTGTTAACCTTAATCTAGTCTGTCAACAAATTAAATAGTAAATCAATTGATATACAGTATTCTAAAAATGAATTTCCTCCTTTACAAAAATTAATAAAGAAGTTGTATAAACTGCATGCAGACTCCATTCTGGATTTTGGCCTGGATTCTGTAATGACATTTCTTTGAGAGGTTAGTATTGGCATGTTTTACACCTGTCTTTGGGAAAATCTTATAGAGTACTACTCAGAGCAAATGTAAGTAGATGTGAAAGCCAAACTGTCTAGCTTCTTGCTAAATCTTCCCGGTATTTAATTGAATTTATAATATTTTGTTTTCACAAATACTTAACATAACATAAGAGAGGAGACCAAATGACCCATCAACATTAATTACTATTAATTGATCCAAGGATCTCATTTAGCTGTTTCTTGGAAGAAGAGAGAGTTCCACCCCTTGCAAACCTTTTTTAGTCTGTACGTGGAGGGTTGCAAACAGTAGGAATTTCCACAACATTAAGATGAGAATACTCTCGTGATGAATTAGTATCATAGTGTCATTTGCTTCTGTGATGTATTATGCAGTGGGATAAAGGAAGAATGCTATAACAGAAATATTTTATTTTATGCATTTATAAGCCAGATCTTAAGGTTAGTTATCTAGATCTTAAGCTAGCCAGGACTGCTGTTTTGAAGAGCACAGTGTCAATACGTTGTTAAGTTGCATGCCGGAACAATAGTAAAAAAAAGTATTGCAATGTAACAAAAGCGTAAGCATCATCTTGATCCATCAATTTAATTCAGATGGGTTGGAAATTGAAAATAACCTTGATTTTAACATACTGTCTCTACCTCTTAGCCATATGTTCAATTTTGAGAATGTGTTCTGGTGATTCATATTATGCTTAACATAAGCGCACAGATATTGCAGCTGTTTCCTGAATAGCAAAAAGGATAAAATTATTTGATGAAACATTCAATAACAATTAGAACTGCTACTGTGTAATTGGTCCCACACGGCCCATTATTTTGTTGTTTCCTCATCAGGTTGCCATTCATCATAAATTCTCCCACATTCCAACTGCAGCTTCTAACCTCTAAATCTCAAGGCTTCAAGCCGTGAGGACCTGTTAAAACATGATAGAACTGTATAGATGATGGAGAGAGTCATAGACCGAATTAAATTAACATTTTAATGAACAGGTTTACATGTCTGATGTTGGACAGAATAAAACCACGCTGTTCTAAAACATTTACACAGTTCTTCCTAATATTTTATGGTGCATTTTGTAAGTGTTGAGCCAGATAATAAGAAGATTCACTCTTCCCACTGTATTGTAGCCTTGAGCTCTGGGATGAAGGCTAGGAGCCACTAGATCCTCATTTCAACTATCAGCTTGATGCATGACTTTTTGCATTAACCCCTGGCTACGATTATTGCAATTTGCTGTTGTCTTATACCCCTGTGTGACTGAAAACAATTTGAGCTCCACAGTCAAAAATGTCATACTCAATGCCTTTAATACATTTCTGTTGTCTGCTGCCGGCATGATAACACAGTAAAACACAAGATTTAGCTCACCTTTAATGAAACAAAGGAGCTAATCTATTTTTTTACTGTATTATTGGTATATGAAAAAAACTTGTACATCATGGAGTTTTAAACCATAATCCATAAATCATTTTACCATTTAAACAGATAATAATAATGTTTCTTTATTAGCCCTATACAATTTCTTGCATTAGGAATTCATCTTTTCACATACCCCAGCTTTTCTCCATGGAGACACAGACACACAGACAGGGAGAGAAGCTTGGGGTCAGAGAGCAGGGTCTGCCATTGTACAGTGCCCCTGGAGCAGTTAAGGTTAAAGGCCTTGCTCAGGGGCCCAACAAAGATTCCTCTGCCAGCCACAGGATTTGAACCAGCAACCTTCTAGTCACAGGTGCAGATCCTTAGCCACAGAGCCACTGGATATCAGACTTTAATCTTACTCACTAATAGAATGCTGTCAGCCTCATTATTACTGTCCATTTGCCACTTACTCAGCCAGCAGAGCTACATAAAACTACTGTAACTTTCAAGGAATTTTTCGTAATAAACATTATTGAACATTATTGTCACATCACCAAACGTTTGAAATTTGACCAAACTACTGAAATGGTTTAATAGAGGAGCAGATCAAATTGTAATCTCACCCCCTTCCTCACTCCTGCATACAATATATAAATATCTCACCTCCTGAGCCTCTTTGTGTATCTTTTATCACACCCTACTCTCCAAACCATCTTCACCCCTGCAGCTGCTCCCTGGCTCATTCTGTGCAAAGCAAATTCCCTGTAAGTCTTGTCCTTACAGTCAGGTTGCCCTTTTCTCACCAAGGAAAATTACACCACACAAATGACAAATGCACTATTCCTAGAAATGTTCTTGCATTATTACAATAATCAAAGTTTGATTGAACCTCTGAAAGTTATATTACAGCAAAGGGGATCATGAAGTTTCTTTAGCTTTACTCAACAAGTAATATAACTTTAAGTCTCATGTATATTTTAAGTTAAAGATTATATTTATACTACTTAAAACAGCCTTTCCATCTTTTGAAATCTATTTATGAGGTAGTGTTCGATTTGAGCTCAGTGGCCCTTTAGTTCAATGCACTGGGAGTGAGGCAGTATTCATAGAACACAACAGAATGACAGTTCAAAATGTCACTAGCACAGAGGACTGTAAATGACAATTCATCTGTCATCTGACTTCCACTCTTGGACATGCCTGTAATCCATTGAAACCGTTATATAAAAGAAAAGATGGTTCATCCTCTGGTGATGAAGCTAACAGTTTATGGATTTTATTATCTCATTATACAGGGATATTGAGACAGCTGATCACCTCACAATCACCTGTACTACTTGAGATTTTAGTAAGGTTTAGAAAGGTTTTATTAAGATTAAGATGTTTGCATGAATAATATTTCAGCTTGAAATGAATCACTGAAATACCGTGCTGTTGAAAATGAGATATTAGGTATATACTTTAGAGACTGAGGTTTGTTATAGATTCTGGGAATTGCCATTTTAGGTATCACAATATCAAGGTACTTTTTCATACGTGGGATACATTTGTGTGTTGTGGTACATTTAGGAAAATTTAGGAGTAGATTAGCATGTTATGGAAAAATGTGTACTATATCTTATCTATGTATCTATGTTTTATCTTATCTAAGCTCTATGTTTTAGAGCTTATTGATGTACAAAATTCAAAATCAAGTTTCCAAAAATCTCTAATGAATTACTGTATCTTACTTCCTTTATATTTAAGGGAAAAAACATTTTTTATTGGCAAAAAAACTTATTATACTCATTATTTAGAAGTTAAAAACATTTTAAAAAGGTTTTCTCCACATAATTTATGAACATCCCATTGTGACATACTAAGACTTAAGCTCTTATTCTTCAGTTCTTTTGTTTGTATTTTTTTCATTTTTGGGTACCCTGGACCATTATTTCATAAAATGAGCAAAGGTCAGAATAATAGTATTAAAAATTCATTCCATATCATTCTCCATTTCTATTTTGTACTTTTGGATATTTACAACCAAAGTTATCATGGTTTTAAGATTTCCAATATGGATTATGGTCCAAAGGCTGTTTTTAATTTTTCCCATAATAGTCTCTGGGCATCCCTCCCTCAATCCATTTTGTCATTTGTTTTTGAGTTCCTCAAAGCATCTAACCACTTGAACAAATCCATGTCAATAAATTGTGAATAAAAAGTAAGTTTCCTCTTTCATTGAAAGAAGCATGTTTTTGAAAAAATATTTTTAATGCAGTGCTTCACAAATCTTGGTCACATAGGGCACTGCTATTTCCCCCCAGTAAAACACAGGGCATTTTTAGAAATGCTCTTGAGATAAGTGACTGTTCAAATGCAATTACACTTAGAATTGTGCATCTTAAGAAGTTAAACAGCACTTTTCATAAAGATGCTCATACATACAGAAACCAATTAATTTCAGAACTAAAGATATTCTACTGAGATGTGAGACCAGAGCAATTTAAATATATTTGGCATTTGCTGAGGGATAATTCCTTGTGGTTAATGCTGCCTTGCAATCAAGACATACACTACACAAACATGGCACTGACTTGCATAAACACCATACACTTCGGTATTAATTGGAAGTGAATACGGTGTTCGTGATTACAGAGTTAGTACGTGGATGCTCCAGGCCAGTCAATTATATTCTAATTCCATATGCATGTAAAGCCAATCATTTCTGTAGTGTTTGTGCTTTTTACTTCAACAGCTGTTCCCTAAAAATAACAGGTGGATTATTGAATAAGCAAAGATCTTAAGAGGTAAGAGGTGAGTGACCATGCTGATGCACAGAAAGTTCAGTTATTTGGGAGTATTTGGATGGTGTTGTTCTGGCTTCTGAATTCATCCCTATGTGTCCATTAGATATATAATAAGAAACAAGGACTTCTTTGTAATGCAAATGTTTTGGGCACGTCTGGAAAACGTCCATAGAAGATTACAGAAAATTGAAGAAAGGGAGGAACAAGATGAAGCTGTTGTGGTGTTTGAGCGTTCTTCATTAAAAGTGGGGAAAAAAGATTTTCTTGAGAAGACTTCAAAAAGGTGCTGCTTATTATGCAGTGAGTTTAAGCTGCTTCTGAACTTGATATTTTAAGATGAAAGTTTTAGCACATTTACAAACACTGTGCTGTTCGCTAATTAACAAAGT